CCCCCCCCCCCCCCCCCCCCCCCCCCCCCCCCCCCCCCCCCCCCCCCGCTCCCTTCATATCTCTCCATCAGCGGTCTGTCCCGGCTGAATGGGGGCCGGGGCTGGAGTGTGTTTACACGGCGCAGCCGGCCAATGGGAGGCCAGCGGTCAGCTGACCCGTGTGGGGGGCCAGCTGTTCCCGCGGGCTGACACGAAGGGGGCGCGCTCAGAGGATCCACGGCGGCGTTTTTGACAGCTTTAATTCTATTTTTGGATTTCCCGTGCCGACCTCGTGCGCCCCTCACAGCGTTCCCCCTCTTTGCGATCCAGCACGCCCAATGTGCGCGCGAGGCATGCGTGTGTTTGTTTCCCTGCTGAACTTGGCGCCAGAACGGCCCCCTGGTCCGCGTCTCGCCCCTTCCCTCAGCTAAACGCATCAGTCATTTCATGCCTTGCTGACTGTGAAGTTATCGTCGATAAGCAAGGGCACCGGCTCGCGCGGCTACATGAATAACACCATCGACCTGCAGGATCGATGCGGGGATCTCGAGTCCGGATTTACAGTAGGGAGAGGCCACTCCGACCGAGCTGTCAAGAGTGGCCTCTCTGCTTTGAGATTTACGCCTGAGGGCCAAAAGAGAGAGAGAGAGAGAGAGAGAGAGAAAGGAAAGGAAGAGAAAAGACGAATAAGAGTGCATCACAAAGAAAAATGGGAAAAGTGCTCCAAGGTTCTCAAAAAAGTTACAAAACTTAAGCCATTAAAGTCAGGCACCTTGATTCTGAGTCAAAGCAAAACTAGGAATGTTTCACAGTACAACTACATAGTTTTCATACAGGGATAGTTCATTCTAAAGTAATTATCCACGCATCAACATTATTTAAACTATTAAAGTTTAGAGTCTGTACTAGTAAAGTTAAAGTTCAGGGTTCAAAAGTTTAACATTTTGTAAATATTCAAATGTATTCAAGTTTGTGTGCTACTGTGAACATGATCAGAAAGTATCAGAAGACAAAACTACACAAAGAGCAAACCATTTGAAGCTGTCCATCAGTGCACCCTTTGGTTAAAGGTTGTTACTCTACAACAAAAATCAGGTAAAAATGCATGCTTTTGTAGCGACACATAGACTGAGATAGCTGCAAATGGTGGGAGAACAGAGACATATGGAACTGTCTTCTCCCAGCTCAAACACGCTTGCATTCATTGGTGTGTTTGTGTGTGTTTCCTAGTCCATATGGGGAAAATGGGACACATTTGTTCATCCTGTCCTTCAAAAATCTTTGACGCAGGTGAATCAGATGAGTTTGAGCGGACGGAGCACCTGGATGTGGAAGCGTCTGCAGAAGGTCCACCTGAATTGGGTTTCAGCTCGTTTGGGATCTGATTGTAAACACTTCTGGATTATCTGAAAAATACCTACATTTGGTCTACAGGCTGAACAAGCCCAGAGTGGTAAAGGATTAAGCTGCATTCATCCCAAAATGGGAAGGGGCCAGTATGCTGTAACTCTATCAATCAGTTGAACATACAAAGCCAGTGATTTATTGAGAATGAACTTTCCTCCATTTATAAGACAGATAGAGTCAATTTGACAGAGTAGAAGCAAAAACACTTGGCAGAGATTAAGATCTTTGGAGGAGTGAAGAGATAAATCCATCCATAATAATCCATAATAATAAGAGAACATAGTAAGGAAGAGAGAAAAATCCCCCAAACATAGAAAGAATGAAAAAAAATCTAAGATTTCTTTGTATTTTCTTTCTAATAGAGCATGCAGTGATGACTGCATACCCGTGTATCTGCAGACTTTATTCAAACAAGTGACTAGGGAGGATTCAAATAATTAAGGCAGGAACTTACACAATTGGGAACTGTGACAGGTTCTTTTGAAAAATAGACCATCGGTGGGCACACTTCTATCAGACAGCCCCCCAAAAATGTACTGAAAACCGAACCTTCCCAGACTCCTGCTCCCTATCGTAGGCCTTTTGACCCAGGTCAAACTGTCATCTGCGCCCTCCCTCCATTTGCCTTGTTTCTTTCAAACCAGATGATGGGCACGGCTGAGAGCTGCACGTGAATACACACACTCTCAGACGCACACAGGCCCCTCAGAGCCTGGCCTTTTTTCACCATGCCTTTTGTCCCTCGGTGTCATGAGTCATGAGCCAAGGTTCGTGCTCCGTGACGCCATCGGATGACCAGCGCCTCGGTTTGACCGGACTCTGAGGCCGGATCGATATCGGAATAAAAGAAATCCAGGTTAAGGCTATCGGAGACTGGCAGTTTGGGGGCGTATGCGCAAAAGAAGGGTTGTGACGCACACGCGGGAACACAAGCGTAGAGGGAATGTCCGGCAGAGCTGTGCCAGCTGTGTGGCGCAGACAGAGAGGCGTCAGGTTAAAACATGAGCCCGCGTATCTCCTACACACGCCCCGTCGTGTGTGCGCACTCGCACGCACGCACGCACGCACGCACGCCCCCTTGCAGGCGGGTAAGTGAGACGTCAGGGTCACCCGGAGCAGATGATGACACTGTCAACATGGCGCAGAGGTTAAAGTGAGGAGTGGGGAGACATGGACCATATTTCATACGTGTGTTTGCGTTACTCTATATGGGGAGGTGTGAGAGAGACCGCGTACATGAGAGCAGGCATAAATCCATGAAGCTGGACTGTACAGGCTCACAGAGGTGTAGATTCCCACGTTTTGCTGGGTTGCTTTTGACTTTATATTTATTTTTTTTATGCTGTTGGCTCCAAAAGTTGGCTTTGTGACATGTACAGGATGATGCTTGAATACATTTATAAAGGAACAAAGCATGGACAATAAAGAAAATGAATTGGAATGAAAATCAATCTGGTGAATGAGCAAGAAGGGAAAGTTAAACAGCTGGAAATGATTTAGTAGTTTCTTTGAAACTGAAGAATGTCTTCACTGTCAGTTGAGCTTCGCTTCATTTTTAAGGTACCAGCAAGTTCAGATTTCTTAGTGATGTTTTTTTTTTGCTTTTTGGTGGAAGTTGCAACTGGAAGAAATTCAGAAATGTTAACTTCAAAATCCAACATGTTTGCCAAAGGACATGCAAATGAGATGGTTGAAAACCAACATGAAAACAAATCTGCTATGTGTGCTTGTAAAATCCCCCTTACAGCACTACACAGCGTTTTCAAGTCAAGGACCTGTGTGATGATGTTCAGCTAAAGGTTTTGTGAACATTTGCAAACATGTGGTTACACAAACATCAAAATCCTATGAAAGGTGATGAACTTATTCCTTCCACAGAATAGGACAACGCAAATGCCCGACCAGCCTTACACACACTACATATTAATTTTTCTAAAGGAATCATTTAAAAAATGGAAGGTCGCAGTCATTACATCTTTCCTCGTTTGTTCTCGCCGCTCCTCCAGGTGATTTACTCGCTGAACATGAAGAATGAGGAGCAGGAAGCGGCCCTGCAGGCCCTGAGCCACGCTCACCACGACGAGCTGCACCGCATCCTGATGGACACCTGCCACGAAGGCGAGGGCTCGGCCTTAAGGACCCGTCTCCTTGAACTGCAGGAGTCTCTGGACCAGCAGCAGCGCGTTGGAGCCCAGGTGTGTGTGTGCGCGGGGCGGGGGCGGGGGGGCACTGGGCTCGCTGTGATTTAATGCGTAAACTCGCGGCTGGCGCAGCAAATCAAAGCCCACCCCGGCCATGATCCGCAGCCTTTAATCTGTCCCAGGTCCCGAGTTCATTAATCAGCCGAAGGCCCGGCCCTTAATATACTGCGTATCGTTATGAAATGTCAACCTGGCATTTGATTATTTTGGGCTCCCTTTTATTTCAAATACACAAGCAAAACATATGTGATGATTAGATTTTATGGAGGGAACTGAGAACAGGGGAATAAAGAAAAGAAAAACAATCATGTCAATGATTGAGAACAATCACTAATACACACAAATGTTATGTAACTGTTATTTAGAATAGAACAATATCCAGTTATACAGGCACCTTTATTGGGAATTGGAACTATCCCTCCCTCCCATGCAGGTCAGTGACCCCAGAGTAGGAACGTTTTCCATGTCTGTGCGTCCATGACCACATTTTGACCTTTTTGAGAATTTAGTTTTTTAAACTTTGGAAACAAATCCCAGCTGTGACAGAGGTTAGAAAAAACCCTTTAAATGGAGGCACACCGGAGAGACCGCAGCCTCGTGACTGTGAGCCCGAGAGGGGACGAGAACCGGTAGAGAAATCTGCCAGTGTGTGCCGGTGAGTCAGCAGCGTTAGCTGGTGATTGCTCTCAGTGTCCCGTGGAGTTTATTACCACATATTGTGGCATAACAGAAGTTTAAATAAAGGAATAAAAGGCAGTCTGACTTACATAATCATGACTGTAAAAGCTTGACTTTCACCTGTTTTATACAAACCCCCCTTTGTTACATAAAGTGATGCTCTGGAACAGAAAAAAATTGTTTCCAGAAGCTTTACTTAGGCTGGCTACTTTTTCACGATTTCTAAAATAGATTGTTTTTACATTTTTTCAGGCACACATATAGTGCATTTACTTTGTGAGTAACACAGCCTACGAGTTGTACTTGATCTACCCACTGCAGCATTATGTCAGACTATAGAAGCTGCTCTGTAGGCTCTGCATTGATCTGGAGGCATAGATTAAGTTTTGGGAGGAATTAAAAATTCTGCAGGCCTGTGTCAGGCTTTTGTCGTTGTCTTTTTACAGCACACTTTGAGAGGTCAGGGACATTCAAAGTCTCAACGGGTTAAAGTGGTTTCAGTGGAACGATAGCAACCTTCGGCATAGTTTCCAACAATAGAACAGGAAGACACTTCAGACTTTAGAGGAAAAAATGGTGGCGCGTTTAATTTATTGCTTTGAAATTTTGATTATTTTCAAAAGAAGAATGTGGAGGGAATTCAGTCGAGTTTCAAATCATTACACAGAAAAGTTTGTGATATTTGACCCTCGTGTGGTCCCAGTACGACTTGTATCAGAGCGTGCGGGCACAAAATTCAGCTTTAAGTGAGAAATGTGTATTATGCCCGGGTCAGAAATACCCAAACTTTGGAATGTTCTCATTTTAGAAGAAGGTTTTTGACGTGGGGCTCATCCTTTCATCTCTTGGGCTCCAGGTACAGGCCGACTTTGAGTGCTTCCGCCTGCAGGTGGAGGAGAAGGAGCGGGAGACGGAGGCGGAGCTGAGGAAAGAGTTCGAGGAGAAGCTCCGGACCGCCGAGGCCGAGCTCCAGGAGGCGAGGGCTCAGGTCAGCCAGACTCAGGAGGAGAGCCTGAGCCTGAGCGCGCAACTGGAGAAAGCCGGGGAGCAGATCCAGGAGCTGAGCGCCAAATGCGAGGAGCTTCAAAACGCAGCGGACGAGGAGAGGACGAGGAAGGACGAGGAGAGACAGAAAGGGGACGAGGAGAAGGAGAAGCAGGAGGAGGAGAGGAGAACCGAGAAGCACGAAGACCTGAAACGGGTCAGGGGCCTCTTGGAGGAGCTGAAGGCTCTGAAGGAGGAGAAGGAGGGAGCGGAGGAGGAGAAGAAGCGGGCGGTGCGGGAGGAGCGGGAGCAGTGGGAGCGGAAGGTGACCGACCTGAATGAGGAGCGGGAGGCCATGAGGAAGAGAATCGAGGCGGAGTGGAGAGAGGAGCGGCAGAGGTGGGAGGAGCGGGAGGAGGAGGAGAAAAAGGGGATGCACAGCGCCCTTCGAGAGAGGGTGAAGCGGGCCGAGGGGGAGGTGGAGAGTCACCTGGAGAGGCTGGCGGAGAGCAAGAGGCACACGGTGAAGCTACAAGAGCGGATACAGGTACTTCCCCGCACGCTAACGCGCCCTCAGTCAGCCTACAGCTACACGCTCAGAGGCTTCCTGCACTCACCACCAGCTAATGGCCGCCCTGATGGGGAAGGAAGGAGCGAGATGGGAGGTGGTGGGGGGGGTGGGGGCTAGTCTTCCCACAGATCGGCCTCCCTGAGTGCCGTACCCCCTCCCAACTACCCGCTAATGAGTAGCTGGAGCAGGGTAGTTTTGCTGCGCCACCATCATTACCACCTCACGCACGAGCGTGGTGGAGCCCTGGGAGAGCCGGCACAGAGCTGACATAAGCCCTCTCAGCAGAGCGCTAAAGCCTCACCCTGACTCACCACATTTCATCTCTCATCTTTTTCTTCCGCGCTGCCTGCTTGTCCGACTTGCATTCTATCTCCCTCCGCTTCTCCTAATCTGTGTTAAATCTGCCGTCGGTTTCTCTTTCCCTCGCTGCTCGCTCCAGGACCTGGAGGAAGAGCTGGAGCTGGATCGTAAGCGGGTGTCCGAGGCCGAGGGCGTGGTCAAGCGGGCGGAGGAGGAGCTGGCGGTGGCGAAGGAGAGGCTGCTTCTGCAGGAGAACGAGCTTCAGAGCAGAGCAGGTAGAGCAGGACGAAGGGCTAAAAGTCAGCCCGGCCCAACTCTGTTATCCAGTCAGACCCGGAGCACATTAGCTCTCCCCCCTCATGTCGCTGGAATGTAAACAGATAAAGACAACTAACTCACATTATTCATATCCCGCAAAGGCGGACGGCTTCATCAAACTGGCATGGTGCCTAGTCAGCAGAAACCAGCCTCGATTGTTGTGTATTGCATGAGAAAAAAAATGTGTTGTTTAGGCCCTTTCCCCTTTAGGAGTCCAAGCAGTGAAGCAGCAGTAACTCCGTTTCTTTTGGTCCACTTCTTTGTGTTTTTATCTTTTATTTTGGGTCCTTCAGAAAAAAAACAGGAAGACTGAGAAAATTCCGGGATAAAAAGCATCCGGGTCTTGTTGAGAAGGTTATTTAAAATGGTAGTTTATGTCATTCAATTGGCTGCCTGAGTTCAAGGGAATTTTGAATTGAGTTATGAGAGTAATTGACTTTAATCTGTGGTCACTTTACTTTACCAGTCAGTTTCAAATGTCACAGAATTGTCCTTTGAGCGCAGTCAAAGTGGTACCAACTGTTTGGAATTCTACGCATCCTGGACAGGCCGTACGGGTTCACAGTGGTCATTCTTTTCGTGTGCCTCCCAGAGGAGCTGCTGAGTCGTGGGGGGTGCGAGGTCTGCGTGTGCGTGGAGATAGAGGAGCTGCGGGCCCAGGTGAGCCGCCTGCAGAGCCGGAACAGAGAGCTGGAGCTCCAGAGCAGCGGCAGAAACAGCGACCACGCCCGGCAGATACGGCAGGTAACGGCCGCCGGAGAAAATGGTGGAGCAAAAAGGGTGGAGGCCGCAGACTGACACGCGCAGCGTCTCCAACAGCACGCCGAGGCCCTGTCCAGCCTGCGCTCGGAGATGGTCAGGGCCCAGACGGAGGAGCTGCGGCGCATCCAGAAGCACGCGGACGACGAGAGGGACAAACTGCAGAGAGAGATGGAACGAGAGAAGGAGAAGCTGCAGAGGGAGAGGGAGCAGGAGAAGGAGCGCTTCGAGAAGGAGCGCGGCAGGCTGCGGCGGGAGAAGGACGAGGAGAAAGAGGCGCTGCACAAGGAGGCGGAGGAGACGAGGGAGCGGCTGAGGAGGGAAAAGGAGGAGGAGGTGGAGCGGCTGGGCAAAGAGCTGGAGGTGGAGAGGGTCCGCGTCCGCGCCCAGCTGGACAAGAGCATCGAGCAGGTGGAGGCGGAGCGGGCCAACGTGCAGCAGAAGCTGGAGGAGGAGAAGAAGAGGCTGGCGGAGAAGGCGGAGGAGGACAGGAAGCGGCTGAAGGAGCAAGTACGCAAGGCCATAGAGGAGGTGATGAGGAGGCACGCGGCCGAATTAAACAGCGTCCAGGAAGCTCTGAGCTCAGAGAGGAAGACCAACCAGGAGGTCAGCACGCGTCCGCACACCACACAGAGCCCAGATATTCTCACAGGTTTCACCCTTATAATCCAGAAAGCTTTCAGAGAAATCTTTGTGATTAAAACAATGACAGGATTCTGGAGATGATCTAGGAGCCAGAAGGGGGAGAATGTAAGAACTCATTTCCAGGAATTCTGACTTTCCTAGATAGCTTACCCCTGGGCAAGTTTGCATTTTCAGGATTTAGACTGAATAATTCTGATATTGGACTCAAAGCTTAGCTTCCCTGCAACAAAAGTACACAAAAAATTTAAATATCCCTTTTAAGTGAAGAATTAACACCTACAGCAAAAGCTCTTGGGGACACAGTTTCTCCATGATGACAACTTCAAATAGAATAAATTAAACTAAAAATAGTCTGAAGTTCAGCTCAGTGGTGAGACTTTTGTTGTTTTAGTTAACTAGCATCAAAGCTTAGATCTTTTATATTTTTGGTGCAAAAACAAGGCGCTACAAATAACATCTCATCTAATTTCTTTTGGGAAACAGTCAGACTGCTTATGCACAGAGGCCGTCCTAGCTTTTTTTTCATCGGAGCTAATGACCAGAATTGACACTTATGATGTCAGTGTCAAAACATTTAAATGAAACGAGCGTGCTACAGAGAGTAAACAGCAAGGCGCTAACCGAGCTGGACGCTGTAGTCCCCTGGCTTTAAAAGCCGTGGCTTGAAACGCTTTCAGCTTGTGAACCTTGAATGGGAGGGATGCGTGGGCCGCTCAGCCGCTGCATACAGTCGTGCTGTAAAAAAAAAAACAGCCTCCATCATTTCTTCTACAGGCTTTTACGCAGATGATAAAAATGCTCTGCTCCTTATCAGACTTCACAGCTCAGTTAATACAGCCTTACATGAAAAACCAAACAAGCTTGTCAAACTTTTAGCTGTAATTACTTGAATTAATTACTTTCCTTATGGTTTTATCCCCCCCCCCCCCCCGCTTTCTTAGTGTCTGATAATTCTCTTTTTTCGGACATTCACCAGTAGATTTATCACTGTATTTGGTGGCTTCAGACAGATGAACGTCAGAGTATTTGAATGGAGAATACTATTAATACGCAATGGCTGCAGTGCATCCAGGTCTTGTGGTCACCCTGCCAACAGTGTCCAAAAACACTGTTCCACAGGTCATGTGATTCCCCTCTGATGTTGTCTCTCCTGCCAAAAAAACAAGTAATTCGTGTTCAGTCTGGATTATACTGCCATCAACTTTAAGATTTAGTGCGAACTCTGTCCTAAGAGTCTGAGATGTAGCGCTTATGTTATTTTTAATTGAATATTGTCGATGGACTTACAGCTTCAGAAAGTGAGGCTTTTTACATTTTGATTTGATCGTTTGCATGTTTTTGTCCATGACTCGGAACGGGATTTATTGTTTATCATCTGAGGCTGTTTTTAACTCATTCAAAAAATGCATTTGGATCAAAAAGCTGTTTTTTTGACGGTTTATCTTAAGGACATGGCCTGTCGAGCAGTTTTTTCCCAGAGGAATCAAAATTAGAATTATTTTGAATAAAATGAGCAAAGCACAGGTTGCCTAAATGTTTATTTTCATCTGTGTTCGCCTCTCTTCCTCCCTGAGGACACCCTCACCCACAGATTAGGCTGACACCACAAATTTCTGATAATGATAAATAGATGTTTGAAATACATTTTCATGATCCGCACATGATTCGGACAAATCTTTTTGTTAGAGTCATTAAGAAAATTATGAAAGAAATGTTCAGTAAAGAAAAGTCATTCCTGATTTACTGAGGGAGAGGGGTTCTTTTAGGTTTGTGCGCGTTTGGAGGAGGAGAGGCGAGCTGCCGAGGAGCTGCGCTACGGCCTGGAGAAGGAACAGGATGAGCTGAGGACAAAACTGAAGGATGCCAGCGCAGAGGTCAGAACCGACAGAGCCTGTGTCGTTCCCTGGATGAAAATGACGGCATTTATCGGTGCCGGCTGCAAAAAAAAACTGGGGGCTGTTCAGGCCGACGGCGCTGTTTCTGTGCTCTCAGATCTGTAGGCTGGAGGCAGCGGTCCAAAAGAGTGACAAGAGGGAAAAGACGCCTCCCGAAGCCTCCCCCCCCTCGTGCGGGCCGCAGTGCTCCCGGCTGGAGGAAGAGCTTCACCAGGCCCGGGGGCGACTGGCCCGCGTTCAGGAGGAGGCGGACAGGCACCGGGACAGGCAGCAGAAAGAGATCGCGTCGCTGAGGGCCGACAAGCATCGGCTGGAGGAGAAAGTCCTGGAGCAGAGCAGGAAGAACACGGAGAAGAGTCTCCTGGAGCAGAGCCAGCGGAACATGGAGGACCGCATCAGGTAGCTGCCCACCCTGCTTGCTCAGTACTGGAGGTCATGAGCAATGGTTCTCCAGTGCTTTCAAAGTTCTAATAGCTAATAAAGAAAAGATTTAAAAGACAGCCACTAGTAGTTAATAAAGAAATGAGTTAGATTGAAATAAAATTATATCACAATCCATCCATCCATCCATTTTCGTAACCTCCTAATGGGGTCATGGGGGGACTGGAGCCTATCCCAGAAGTCATTGGGTGAGAGGCGGGGTACACCCTGGACGGTCAGCCAGTCACAGGGCATCTATCTCCATCACTGTTGAGATCATCATTGAGTGCAGAGGATCAGCGTGTCCCTTCTGTGTGATTGGTGCTTAACCCTATAATGCCAAATGTATCATATTTGATACATACGGTTTCTGAAGTCTTTTGGATCTGAGACTTTTTGCATCATTCAATGGTAAAAGCTTTGCTCAAACCCCTGTTGTACACATTCAGATATATCTGATAACAGCAAATAGAAGACTACACCAAAATATATTTTTGACTTATTGCAAGTAATTTCTTTTATATTTTTCTTCATATGTTGTTGAAGAAAGACTAAAAAAATCCAACATTCTTCCTATTTTTCTTGGATCGGGCTGAGTTTTTCTGTCATTTTTATTCTCTACTTTGATTGTATATAGAATATAGTCAGGTTTTTCTGTTGTATGTTAATGGAAAGACCAGCGTCCCCCTCTCACAGCGAATAGAAAACAGTAATGGAAAAAAACAACAACATCTGGTTTCTGAGCCATAAAAACAACACAAGAATCCTTAATTAGTTAAACTGGCAGTGAAAAATGAGGTGTTAAGCTTGTAAGACTCATTGAGTCGAGTAAGTAATTAGTTGTCAGACGACAACTCTGAGCATTAAGCCAAATTAAGAGTACTTGCAAAGAGAGAGAGAAGCACATGCGGCATGACATTTCCCACAGAGGAGGAATAAACAGTGGAATTTGTGTGGAGCTTGACTCTGTTTCCCTCCTCGTTCACGTGCCTCCAGGGCAGAGTGTGAGGATCGTCTCAGAGCAGAGTTCAGGATAGAGATGAACGCCGCCGTGGCCGAGAGTGAGCAGCGGTGGGCCGACCGGGAGCAGGAGCTCCAGAGCCAGATATCTGAGCTGCAGGGTCAGCTGACCGAGCTGGAGGTGAGCCCCTCAGCACAAACCGCATCACAGAATCCCTCATTTTCCCCATTAGGGCTTCACCCTATCATCCACACAGTGGAAGAGCGGACATCCCCGAGCTCTGGATATTTAATTAAAACCGTCCTTAAAGTAGGTCAGCCTAATTTTATGGTACGTAAACTGGGAACTTTGTGTTTCATCCACTCGAGCTGCGTGAGTTTGCCGAACAGGGAGACTTCTAGGTTGAATTATCCCTGCCAGATCATCGTCTCAGGATGGGGACCGTTCAAAAACCTTCACTCAAAACTTTGTCTTCCATGCAGGCGGATAAGAAGAAGGCGGGACAGGGAGACGATTGCCACGGCAACCCTGAAATCGACAGGCTGCGAAAGGAAGTCCAAGACACCAGGGAAATAAACAAGAAACTGAGGGAGCTGCTGCAGGTACTGACACACATACATACGCTGTGAAAAATCGTACGAGCGCCACCATATTCTTTCTTCCCGGATGAATAATTTAGTAGTTTTGATTAAAGTGTTGCAGTCAAGAGGCAACCTAATGTTTTTCTGTGTGCTGGAGCGAGCGCACGCTGACGTTTTACACTCGCAGAGACGTGACAGTGTGGGCGTAAAGAGAGCCGCTGCGAAACCCAAAAAAAAAACCTGCCTTATTGTGTTGAAGGAGCCAAAAAGCCAGTCGTCAGCGGAGGAAAAACACGGTCACGCCATGGCGCTGCAGGCAATGGAGAGGCAAGCAAAGGAAGATCTGTTGTCTGAGAGGAACAGACTTCAGACCATGCACCACTTGGAACTCGGTAACACGCGCGCGCTCTCACACACAACCGCATCAAAACTGAAAGACGCGAGAAAATGTGGGCAGAAAACGCATTCTGCATAGCAAGCTGCATGAACAAAATAAGCAAACACAAGCACACACACACACAAACACAGAGCGATGTTCACATTGAGATTACAAATTCAGCACTTAAGTTGCTATTGCCATGGATACAACTTCTCCATGGCAACAGCAGAGGGGTACCTGTAACAGTGGGCCATACTGAATCTGTTTTCTGTTTGTGCCTTCGTGTGTATGTCTGTGT